AGCAAAAATATTTTCCTCTTCTGTTAAACTTGCTGATTTACTAATGTTAACATCCAAAGCCCAAGCTAAGTACTATTTATTATTATCTTATAACTGAACTTGTGTGGGTTATCCTTAGGGCCTCAACCATTGTCTTAGTAGTCCACTGCAATAAAAATACAATGTATAACGTATAATTTGAAAGATTTCAGTTGCTACCTTTTGAAACGTAAAAGACATGGGTAAGATAATTCAGTTAAAAATAGTTCAATGTGCACTCAAATATAAAACAATTTTTTTTAAATTGTGGTAATACTGGTTTACTACATTTTATAAGTTATAGGTATACACTTTTATGACCCTCCAAACATGATACCACCAACATTCTTTTTTTTTTTTTTAAGATTTATTTATTTGTGCATATAGAACTGGGGTACAGGCCAGAGGCTCAGGGGCGGTGAGAGGCTTCACCAGAGACAGAGTGGGGAACAGAACAGGCAGATCCACGAAGTACACTGCTGAGGGGAGCAGCGGGCGGGTCAGGAGAAATCTGCCACACCATGTGGTCACCTCCGGGGCAGGTGGGAATCGAAGTCTTGCGGAAGAGGCTTTAGATTCTCAGTGCTGTGCTTTAACCCACTGTGCCACCAGGGAGGGCCACCACCAACATTCTGATTGCTCACTACCACTATTCAAAGGCCTCCTCTGTCCATTCCTCTCATTTGTTCCCCACCATCTTTCCCTCTTGTAGCCACCATTTTGTTGTGAGAATCCAAAGGTTCTCATGGTTTTGTTAATTTGCTTTCTTTTTTATATTACTTTGTTTTTTTGGTTTGTTTGTTTGAAGATTTATCTATTTATCCATACAGAACCAGGCCAGAGATGGGGAGGGTGAGAGGATTCACCAGAGACAGAGTGGGGAGCAAAACAGGCAGATGGATGAAGTACACTGCTGAGGGGAGCAGCGGGCAGGTCAAGAGAGGTCTGATGCTATGTGCATCACTTCTGGGGCAGGCAGGTATCAAACTCTTGCGTAAGTGCCTTTAGCTTCTTAGTGCTGTGCTCTAACCCCCTGCGCCACCAGGGAGGGTCCTGCTTTGTTTTTTATATTCCACATGAAAGTGAAATTATTCAGTATTGCTCTTTCTCTTTCTGACATATTTTACCTAGCACAATCTGCTCAGATTCCAACTACATTATCACAAATGGCAAGATTTCATCTTATAAAAAAATCATTAATGAGGGTCTTCCCTGGTGGCGCAATGGGTTAAAAGCACAGCATTATGAAGCTACCCACAGCTGCTGCAGCATGAGTTCAATCCCCAGAGAGGTGACCCACATGGCATAGCAGACTTCTCCTGTCCTGCACACTGCTCACCTCAGGCAGTGTATTTTAGTATATCTGCCTGTTCTGCTCCCCACTCCATCTCTGATGAATCCTTTCTCACACAAACACACACACACACACACATCCAGCACATCTGGCCTGTATCCCAGTTCTGTATGCATAAATAAATAATTCTTTTAAAAAATTCATTAATGAGGGTCTTCCTGGTGGCACAACAGGTTAGGACACAGCAGTGCAAGCTAGCAGCAGCCACTTGTGCAAGTTCAATTCCTGGCCCCGGAGGAGATCCAGCACAGTGTGGCAGACCTCTCCTGACCCGCCCCCTGCTCTCCTCAACAGTGTACTTCATCGATCTGCCTGCTCCCCACCATGTCTCTGGTGAATCCTCTCACTGTCCCTGCCCCTCTGGTCTGCACCCCAGTTCTGTTTGCATAAATAAATATATAAATTTTTTAATGGAAATTAAAAAAAATCATTAATGAGATTTTTCCCCTTTTCTCATACTAAGTCCTCAAAAATCTGGTATGTATTTTAATACTTAAGCATTTTTTCATTTCAAACTAGCCACACCCTCAGTGATCATATTCAATTAAGAATACTTGGGGTTTTTTGCCCATATACTAGTAAGTGGTGGTCATGCTTGGATTCAAACCAAGTTTGGCCTTATCACAAAGCTTGCATTCTCTCCACTATACTGTATAGGTTGTATCTCAGTCCAGAGAACTTTCACAAGTCCAAGGTAGAGATACTGTTGAAATTAGTTACATTTCTCTAAGCAGTAACTTCTTTATTAGATACTTATGCTCTATACCATGAGTATAAATGAAATAGCTTCTTAATCATTTCTTTTCTTCACATTCATTCTTTGGACCACAAAGAATGTTACTGATCTCATACTGTTATTTGATCAGTTCCATGCCCAGTCTTTTCCCTTTGATTTTCATGACAGTTAACAGTAAGGATAGCCAGAAAATAAGCATAAAACAACAGGCTCGGCTGCTAAATCCTTTGACTGTAAGTTTAAGAAGTCAGTTTCAAGTGAGAATTTGACTGAATAATGATTGAGGAGGGAAGAGGCTCTTGATCTATATATTTACCTAATTTCTCAAGGTAAAGACTCTCTTGCTTTTAAAAAGGGTGGAAAGGAGGTGTTTGCAAACCTATGTGCTATATACCAGAGGCATGTTTTCACACAGTATTTTCCCTTGGCAAAGGAGAAACATCTAAAAATTAAGATTTCACAAGTTACAGATTTCCTGTTTCTCTTGAAAAGTGGGAAGATCTAGCAATCCTGGGCTCGCATTTTAAATGGAGCTGACCAGCTGCTGCCTCTCTGACATGGCACATGATTATCTACAGTGCCCCTAGCCCTGGTCCTCAGTTGCCCCACTGCTCTTATTTGCATGTCCTGACCTTTATTTTAAAATAATACATATAGGACCAGCAGAATTCTGGCTAATTTGCCTATACTTGCTGTTTGGTAGGCAGTCACTTTTAAAGCTTAAGAATAGATATTGTAATGGTTAAATCCTGTATTGTAAGCAATTTCTAGACATTGGGGAATTATAAGCAATTTCCTTCCTCAAAGGGAAGAGAATAAGTATTTGCAAAGGATCTCATATTTCACAGTGTGATATTTTATTTAAACTGAGTGGTAAGTAGTCTCCTGTTATGCATGAGGAAAATGAGGCCAAGTTACATAGGTAGTGATACATCTGGGATTCAGTACTGACCAGTTGTTTTCCAAAGGTCATGTTCTTTCCTCTATAATGAGTTACCTCCTTCTTAGTCCAGAAATTATTCACTGTTTCTTTATTACATACTTGGTCTTCAGCATAGAAACTGCCAGTTTATAGCAGGGAAAACATTTTAATCATAGCATGCACTGCCAGTTTTATATTAAGTTGACAAGCAACAGATAGTTCCTTTGTTTTTACTTAATTGCTTGTGCTGTTTGATAAAGGAATCCATGGTATTCTAAGTTGTCTCTGTTAGCAGAGGAAAGCTGTTTCCCCTTTGATAACTGTCCCTTACTCATTCTTTTTGTCGGGGCACTTACCACTTCTAAGTGGCAATAAATACTTCCATTAAATGTCTTTCCTCCCACCCCCCCATTCAGAAAGGATTTGTGATGTACACCTTAGATCAGAGATCCTGGGAGAAAATCCAAAAGACAAGATATCTTTAAGAATTTATAATTTGTACAGGGAATTGAGAGGGTTGGGGGAAAGAAATTATATAATAAATTGACACCATTAAGAAAGCAAACTATACAAAGTAGGGCAAGGAGATACAAATGAGATGGCTTAGGGAAGTAGTTGCAGCTGGTAGTCATTTAGTTATCATCAAAGTCCAGCTATGCTGAAAATCATCAGGAAGCAGAACCCACTCTTAGATTCAAAAGTAATAAAGACACATACCATGTGTTGTTAAAACTATGGCGTGGGAGGTCCTAGCCCTTTCTTAGATTAAAACCTGAGATCAAGCACACTGTAATAATAATAAAAATAACTTGAACTTCTCACCCACAACAGCACAATTTTTTTTTAATCTGACTGAAAAAAATACTTGCATTCAACTGATAACTTATCCTCTTTCCATGATTTGTGTTATATGAACTATTGAATGTATTCTTCTCCTCAGTAAGTTAAGTCATCATTAAAGTCCTGTGGTTATATCAGCCTCATTGATCCTAATGTTTTATTGCCCTCTGGTGATGACAGCATTTTCAGTCTGTCTCTAATCTTATTTTCATATCATGCCAGACAAGTTGTTAAATGCAGGACAACTTGTTTCTTTGCCTTTTATGTTGTTGTATAACTACCAATCACCACCAACATATAAAAAGCCTGTCCATATGTAAACCACTGAAAATGCTGAAGCCAACAAAGGGTGTTTTGGAGTGGCTTTATTTTTTTAGGGGCATAAGAAACAAAATAAGCCTATTGGTTTGGTTAAGTGTAGTTGTTCCTTTTTTAAAATATTGAATTGATTTCCATAATTGTCTTTCTAATATTTTTAATTTTAGACAGTTGCAAATCTTATAAACCCCTATTGGCTTATTTAACTATAAGTTGTCTTAGAACCCATACTCCTCATTAGAAAACTGTTTCTCCCTACTGTTTTAAAAAATGTTAACAAGAATGGTTTAGGCACAATTGTAAAGTAGCGGAATCGGGAAGTTGCTGCCCTTCCTCTTCTACCTCTGAGTAGCAGAGTTTGGAGTCTCCCTCTCAATCCTGACTCATGGGGTACTTGACTCCTCTCATAAGGTATTTTGAGGCCATGTAACTTTGTGTTGTCATTAAACACCAGTATGTTGCTCAGTCAGTGTGGTGGACATCTATTTCTTCTTTTCAGCTGTCAGAGAAACTTCCATCATAAAGTTATTTTCTTTACTATTCTTTTACCTCAACCTTCCTGACCTTCTTGTAGAACTGTGTCAACTTATACAGATAAATTATATTTTAATTGTGAAAATATTTACTCTCATAGAAGAAAATAACTTTTTTTCCTGCAATAAGTTGAAGTAGGTCTTTACACATAAACAACTCTATATTGTGAGCCAGAACTCCGAAATAGCTGGTTTTTGGTCTTGTTTTTAATGTATCACATTAGTATTTTGATTATCAGAAAATACAACTCACTTAATTTTTGTCTTATGTTTCAACAGAAGGAGAATATGTTAAAATGTTTATGCGAGGTCGGCCAATTACAATGTTTATTCCTTCTGATGTTGACAACTATGATGACATCAGAACAGAATTGCCTCCTGAGAAGCTCAAACTGGAGTGGGCGTATCCTTTCTGCCAGGACAGCAAATTTGGTTGCTTTGCTTTAATTAAGAAAAGTCAATTTACCTATAAATTGTCAATATACCTACACATATACACACATACATAACATACATAACCACTTGAAGGTAAAGAGATGTCATCTCTAACCCTTTCATATATTACATAATATTGCTACTAGCAATTTAAAGCCACCAGAGTTAGCACCTGGAGATAGGACAAACATTATTCTATAAACATTGCATCAGGTTTTTGTGATAGGGTAGCCAGTGACACAAGACTGATCTGGAATCGGAAGATAAATGTTGGAGTCTTTGCTCTGCCACTTACCACAATGGATGTTATCTAATTTCTTCATTTAATAATTCCTACCTCATAGGGCTATTCTAAGAATTAAAGCAGAGCTTTCCTGATTTCACTTAGAAATTCTCACTTGTAAAACCTTTAAAAAATTGTGGCTTGGCACAATCCTTAGTGTTAACTATAATGACCTCTTGTATGGAAGACCTTGATGCATTTCTTTAATCAAATGTTCCTAAATTATGAGGCTTTTATATATATATACACACATATATGAGAATATATAAGGCAATGGGTTGGGGGTGGTAAAATGCTCATTCCCTCTCAGAGTGTCCTTCCCTCATCAAAAGAGAAGGTCTCTTTTGCTGGAACTTTGGCTAAGGAACATATAAAACTTGTATGCCTGACCCATCCTGGTGGAAAGCAAAAATTCACAGCATTGCGTTTGCTCTGCTACTTCTGCTTACATAAATGTTTTCCCCAAATAAATCCTGTTATATCTCTGGCACAAAAAAGAAGTGTGGCACAACTTCTTGACAAAAACTCTGCTTGCCAAAATTGTGCCTGAATATCTCTTAGTTGTCCTACAGATCAATCATAAATCTCACTTTTCTCTGATAATTCTTCTGTTGATCCCTTGCTCCATTTAAATCATCCTTGTATAGTTTTTTCTTAGCATCTTGTTATTTTTCTTTCCATGATTTCTAGTGCTATATTTTGTGTTTATTTTTGTCATCTTTGCAAGAGCATTAATTTCAGAGATAGAGTCCCACACTTGTTAACTATGTGCCTGACACATACTAAGAACTCAGTGTACATTTATCTGGCAAATGAGGAAACTTAAGATGTAAACACATTTAAAAATTACAGGTAGTGACAGGAAATGAATTTTCTAGTCCAGTCTTTTTCTCTTGGTCCTCTTAATCTCCCTGATTCCCTCTAGTGTCCATGGAAAAAATGCCAGCTTAATACTCTATAATCTGCTTATTGAAAACCTTGACTCTCTTTTTAAGATATGGTTATCGAGGAAAAGACTGTCGAGCTAATGTTTACCTTCTTCCTACTGGGGAAATAGTTTATTTCATAGCATCAGTCGTAGTACTATTTAATTATGAGGAGCGAACTCAACGACACTACCTGGGTCATACAGACTGTGTGAAATGGTTGGTATCATTTAACTTTTTCATTTCTTTCTTTCCATGCTTTAGTTTATTTTAACGTTTGAGTTTTATTAAAAATGACTTCCTACAGGAAGCTCAGAATGTATGGATATTGTGGGACATTTTGTAGAATATAGAAATACATATCCATATATTCTCTATAAGCTGTATTTTTAAAAGGAAAGAGAACTCATAGGTCTCCAAAAATGACATGGTGTCAGCACCAATGAAACATAACCCCTATTTCAGTTGGGACCTCTCCTGTTTTCTTAGATTGCTTATGATCATTTTCTTCTGACCAATAGTATCAAATAAATGTTAGGCACTCTGAACTTTCACAGATTTCTAGATGCTATTGATTAATAAGTTTTTTTTGAGGATTTATTTTGTGTTGGTAAATTTTGAACCTGAGGTGGTTCTTTTTAGAAAAAATCAACTGTAACTATTAAAAAGTGTGGGAACTTCTTAGTTTTAATCCTTTAAAATTACCAACTTTGCTGTTCCTTAGTTAAATTCAATCATCTGTTGCTTTGAATGCATCCCAACATTTAAACACTTTCTTATGTTCATATTAATCTGGCAACTGTAGCTTCAAAAGATTCCTGTCTGTTTGGATATTACAAAGATTTATAAGCTTTTAGAGATAACTAAAATCTTATCTTTTATACTGAAAGAATAATATGTACAGAATTATTACATTATAGGTGATAGAAAGATTAAAAATAGCTTCAAAAGATTCATGTCTATTTGGATATTACAAAGATTTATAAGCTTTTAGAGATAACTAAAATTTTATCTTTTATACTCAAAGAATAATATGTACAGAATTATTACATTATAGATGATAGAAAGATTAAAAGCAGCTTAAATATCTAACAGTTGGGCACTAGTGATGTCGGGCATTAACTATGGGTTACAACCAGCTACAAAGAAAGAATGGGGAAGCTCTTCATGTATTACTAGGGAAATATCCCAAGTTATGTACTCCTACCAACCAAATCATCAAGGCATTTTAAAAAACATTAATTCTTAATAAGGACAAATTGTAGAAAATATTTTGAAACATTTTTATTTCTAAGAACAACTTAAATTGATGCTAGTTTTCTGAAAAGGAATGACAGTTTATACTAAAACCACAGAAGATATATTCTCAGTTTAGCTTATCCTTTGTTTTAAAATTTTTTGCTAATAGTTTATATATGTATCATGAGAAATTTGTGCATATACATTATGCTTTTTTAATTGATATTTTAAAATTCTTTGCCCAAGTTTGTATATAAATTTAGCAGCTAAATAGTAAAAGACTGGAGGTACTCTATGTAGAGCTGTTTACTGCTGTGTCCTTTCATAGATAAGCAGAAATAATAGAAGATCTGAGGAGTCAAAATATGAATAAGGATTATGTAGCAAAGTGGAAAATGCTTATTTTTATAGATGAAAATACACAGTACAATAGTGCATCTTCATTATAATTTAAAATCATGTGAATATATATTGTACATTGGACTAGAAAGGGAAATAAGCAAATGAAAAGAGTTTATCATGCTACAATTGTGAATAAAGATTTTCTTAAAATTTAGTGTTCAAAATTTAGTTTGAAATTAATTAATTAATTAACCAAGAAGAAGAAGTACAAGTGAAACTTAAGAAATCCTTTAGATAGTTGATTTGCTAAAAATAATAACAGTTATAGTGAATTTTTATTATAAAAAATGAAAACTAGGATTCTAGGCATATTTTGGCTGTTTCACTTGGTTTTTGTATTTTTAAGTTGTTGTTAATACTACTTTTAGCCTTGCTATACATCCTGACAAAATTAGGATTGCAACTGGACAGATTGCTGGAGTGGATAAAGATGGAAGGGTGAGTGGCACAATTTCATGCTGTACATGGATCTGGGATGTTGCTCTTAGAATGAAATTAGCCACAACTCATTTATGCTTTTAAAATATAACTACTAAAGAATTTCTGGCATAAGCAGGGTAAAATATTAGAATTTAAGAAAATTCCAAACAACAAAAGGTTAAACATACTATATAAATATTTTTTCTAAAAAATGAGTATTCCCTAAAAAATTCTATTTATATATATAAATATGGGAGGATTGATAAACTTCACATAACTATTATTTATCAGGTTGTACTGAATGTCCCTAAGTTGGTGGACCTCTTGCTTTTTTTATGTATAGCTAGAACTGAACACTTAAAAATTTTCTGTCATTAAGTATTAATGAAATGGCTTTCATAACAGGTCCCTTATTTATAAGGTTCAACAGTAATAACTCATTGCCATATACATATATGACCATACTAACAGCATCTCTGGCTTCATTTTCTTCAACCAAAAGGAGTTAAAGTGGTTGTATTGGATTTCTAAGACTCCTTCCAGTTCCCAGTTCTGTTTAAGATTACTTGCTTAATAATTTATTGGGCACTGATTTTTTTTTTTTTAATGTTATTTTTCCAAGAATAAAGGTAATGCTAAAAGCAGGGTGGAGCTATTTGCCTGGGTTAGAGTCCTGACTCTACTTTTTAGTAACTGTATAACTTCAAGTTACTTAACTCTCTGTATCTCAGTTTCCTCTTCTGTCAGCAGTGGTTATAGCCATTCACAGTTAATAGGCATTATTATGAAAATTAAATGAACTAATACTTGGGTTTAGATTAGTAATAGTCACATTATTTGCTGTTACTGTTATTATCATAATTGTTGTGATTTTTTTTTTCTGCCAGAGGATAATACCCACTCAGATTCTCTAGGGGCATGTCTAAATGTCATAGCCATTTTTTATTACTATTATTTTTTAAACATGGTAGTCTATACTGTGTAGTAGTGGCTTATATTTGAATCCACCTGAATACTAGTTAGGCCTGCTATCTTCTGTTTCTGCCTTTGTTTTTGTAGCCTCTGCAACCCCATGTCAGAGTGTGGGATTCAGTTAGTCTATCCACACTGCAAATTATTGGACTTGGAACCTTTGAGCGTGGAGTAGGATGCCTGGATTTTTCCAAAGCAGTAAGTAACAATTTTTAAAGAAACAAACAAGCTGAACAATGAAGCAGAAAAAAAGTTAGGCTCAGCTTTATATGTATGTGCTCATAGAAAATGATCTCTCAGCTGAAAAATGTGATGTTATCTACTGCTTGGTGTTGGCCAATATTTGATCTAAACACTAAAATAGTTGGATCTAGATAGGATCCACAATATTACACTTGATTATACTTGATTTTATTTTGTCCTGAAATAGGAGTCTAGTGTAATAGCAGGAAATAGAAGAATGCATACATAGTATAATACAATTTGAATGAGCAATAACATGTGCTTTGTTTCTTGAATCTTAAAGATCTGTTTCACTTAGAAAATTCACAAACATGAAACCTTGCCAAATCTACACAAATACTAGCTTTTTTGGTGTCATGTTGGAGTAAAAGAAGCATCACACTTCTGTAATCATGAAAATCATGAATTATCTTGGTTCTAAGTTGTTGACAACATGGGTTTAAAATTCAGTATCTAGCAATTTCCAAGCCTTGTGGTTTTAAACAAGATGTTACTCATTCTGTTTCTTCTTGAGTTATGTGTAATTACTATAGAATATATAGGAAGACATTCTACATTTTAGGATCCACATTTGAAATTTTCAAGTATATCTCTTTATATTTTATTGGACCTCATTTATGATTTGAAATTTATTTATATATTCATTATATCTCTTTTAAGTTCCTAGTTGTCACCAGCTATGTCATGAATAATGGGTGTTTGTGGAGCATGAAGCACGAAGAGACATTTTTATAGCAGAAAGATATATTTAGATGGATTTAGAAACTTTACTCACTTTTAAAAGTACTGAATGTCTTGAGTCCAATGAGTCAGAAATTAAGAAAAGAAAGGTGGATGTAAGAAGACAGGAAGGAAATACTTCTACTACCTTTTTTCCTCCTAAAATGTCTGTAGCAGGAACTGTTGTCATCTTGTTGATACCATTGTTACAGTGTTAAGAATATCTTGGATACTCTTAACTTTTCATCCTTCGGGAAAATTTTCCAGGCAAAGTAAGAAAAAGGTAAAAAGTGTAAGCTCTGCCCTCCTTAGAGTACCTCTCTTCACCTCAATATTTTTCTGTCCCATAAACATTATAAAGTATATGTCACAGATGTAATGAGGAAAAAAAAATTTTATTAGCCACATTTCTTAAACCAGAAAACATAAATTATGTAAATGAAAATGGTTTCAGTAAAACAGATTATAACAAATTCAGGTTAGGTTCTCATTTATTTTGTATATGTATGTTAATTCAAGTCATATCATGGAACACTGAAATTGGCAAGCCTTAAAAGTAGCCCTTAGTTTTAGCTATTCCATCAAGTAATCAAAATTTACTCAGGAGCAAAGTTAAGAAATGATGTACATTCATTCTAACTTCAAGGGAAAATATCTTAAATACAGTTAATAAGGTGGAAGCAGAAGAGGCAGAAGGGACTGGGATAACTCAAAAGTAATTATTTGCTATTTCTGAATAATAGAATTGGCCAGTGGCAAATGGACATCTACCTAGGAAAACATTTTAAAAAAATTTTTTGTGTTAATCTTCATTATATTTTAAGGATCTATCAGTTTAAAGGATTTTTTTTAATCACTACTATGTTCACAGCTTTACTTGTATGCTATTTCTTAAAATCAGTGTGATTTGAAAATTTTTAATGTCTTTCGCTTTTCTTTAGGATTCAGGTGTTCATTTATGTGTTATTGATGACTCCAATGAACATATGATTACTGTGTGGGATTGGCAGAAAAAATCTAAAGCAGCAGAAATAAAGGTAGATTTAAAGTTTTTTAATTATCTTTTAGAATACATTTTTTGTTTTGCAAACCCTTGGAACCATAATGACATTCTTAAAATTCAAGAACACACAATCAGGTGAAATTCATCAAATTATTGACTTGTCATCACTCAGGTATTAACTACCTTTACACAAAGTAAAATAGTCCAGCAGTTTAAGCCAGCTTCACTCTTATGTCAGACACAGTGTACTACTGACATGTCAGACTAAATGGTTATCTAATTTCAAAATTAAAACTAAACACTCTGGGCCCTCCCTGGTGGCGCAGCAGGTTAAGCACAGCACTAAGAACTTAAAGCCACTTCTGCATGAGTTCGATTCCCTCCTGCCCCGGATGTGACCACATGGAGTGGCAGACCTCTCCTGACCAGCCTGCTGCTCCCCTCAGCAGTGTACTTCTTTGATCTGCCTGCTCCCCACTCTGTTTCTGATGAATCCTCTCACTTCTGCTGCACCTCTCTGGCCTGTACCCCAGTTCTGTATGCACAAATAAATCTTTAAAAAAAAAACAAAACCCTTAGCACTCTAGGGTTCTCCCTAGTTTTGCATGTGTTAAAGTTTCAGCACTATCAAGCTACCTCCAGCCACTGCAGCTTTGATACCTGGCCAAGGAACTAACCCACATGGCCCAACAGGCTTCTCCTGTCTCACTGCTCCCCACTGTGTCTTTGGTGAAACCTCTCACCACCAACCCACATCTCTGGCCTACACCCCAATTCTTGTATACATAAATAAGTAAAAATAAATTAGAAAAATAAAACTGAACACTGACTACTTCTTTAACAAAATATGTTATTTCATTCACTTTTCAAAGTTTTGCAATTTTACAGGAAAAAAATTACCCCCAGAAGTATGACTGACATAACTAAAAAGAATATGTAAAGTCTTAATTGTGTTTGTTGGATTATTACATAAATGCTATAGCGTTTATAATTGCTGTAATATTGTGACCAAGGCACTAGGTATTTCCTTTTTTAAAAATCCCTGTTAGGTCCTCCCTGGTGGCACAACGGGTAGAAGCACAGCACTATAGAGTTATCCCTCCCTGGTGGCTCTACATGAGTTCTGTCCTTGGCCAGGGAGTGACCAACATGGCGCAGCAGACCTCTCCTATCATGACTACTGTTCCCCTCAGCAGTATATTTCAGTCAGTCCACCTGTCTCTGGTGAATCCTCTTGCCCCCGGCACCTCTGGCCTGTGCCCACTTCTTGTATTCATAAATAAGTAAATATTTTTTTTAAAATAATTCTCTGCCTTTGGTTATCAGTAGCATATAGTTATTTGATAGTTTGTACTTGCTGGGGGAAAGACTCAATCCATCTAAAGCTTTTTTCCTCTTTTCATAGACAACAAATGAAGTTGTTTTGGCTGTGGAGTTTCATCCAACAGATGCAAATACCATAATAACATGTGGTAAATCTCATATTTTCTTTTGGACATGGAGTGGCAATTCACTAACAAGAAAACAGGGAATTTTTGGGGTAAGGATCAATAAATAACATCATTAAAAACTTTGATTTTCTGAGTAAACATAAAATCATCATGCCAACAGGAAATCTGAAAATACTCATTTGTTTTCATTGTAGAAATATGAAAAGCCAAAATTTGTGCAGTGCTTGGCATTCTTAGCGAATGGAGATGTTCTTACTGGCGACTCAGGTGGAGTCTTACTTATATGGAGCAAAACTACTATAGAACCCACACCTGGGAAAGGACCTAAAGGTACAGTATCCTCATAAATTCACTCTTTAATATGCAGATAGTGTTATTGCAGTCCCACCTCTTGCCCAGACCAAGAGAGAGTGTTGCCATGGAACAATATGCTGGTCACCCATATGCCTTTTATTTTTAAGTAATCATTTTAAAATTATACTATTTAATCAGTTATTTAGTAAGCATATATTACTGAACCTTTCCTTCTAGGTGGTTAATACAAAATTTGGAAAAGATGTGTAGTTATAGATGTTATTTTAAAGATTGAGAAATCATCTTCAGTGTTTTGGGAAGTCTTCACAAAAGAGATAGGAATTAAGCTAAGCTATACAGAAAAAAGGTACCAAAAGACTACTTAAGATGTGGCATATGATCCAAGTTTAGGCAAGCAGTGCAAAGGCAAAAAGAGGTTATGAATGTGCGACGTCCAGTGAATAAATTCACTCTTTAATATGAGTGAATAAACTCACCATTAAAACTATTAACAGAATCTGGGCCCTCCCTAGTGGTGCAACGGGTTAGGACACAGCGCTGCAAACTGGCCGCATCCGCCTCAGTGCGAGTTTGATCACTGCCCCAGAGATGATCCACATGGCATGGCAGACATCTCCTGATCCTCCCATTGGTCCCCTCGGCCTATCCTGCTCCCCTGCTCTGTCTCTGGCGAATCTTCTCACAGCCCCTGCCCTCTAGCCTATACCTGTATGCATAAATAAATAAATTTATTTTTAAATTCTGGTATGGAGCTCTCCCTGGTGGTGTAGCAGGTTAAAGCACCACATTATGAAACTCCAAAGCCACTGCAGCATGAGTTCAATCCCCGGCCAGGGAGCTGACCCACATGGCTTGGGAGACCTCTTCTGACCACCCGCTGTTACCCTCAGCATTATATTTCAGTATATCTGCCTGTTCTGCTCCCCACTCTGTCTCTTGTGAATCCTCTCACCCACCATACCTCTGGCCTGTACCCCAGTTCTGTAAGTATAAATAAATCAACCTTTTTAAAAAAAAAAAAAAATCTGGTAGGGATAAAAGATATCTTTCCTAAATTATTTATAAAATCTTTAAAACTGGTTGAGCACATCATAGAAGAGATAAAAGCTGTTGAGCCAAAGATCTTTTATCTCTAATTTGATGTCTTAAAAAACACCTGCAAGGATTATAAAAGTGAGTTTTTAAAAAGTTAACAAAATCAGGTCCTCCCTAGTGGCACAGCAGGTTAAAGCACAGCACTAAGAAGCTAAAGCCACTTCCGCATGAGTTCGATTCCCGCCTGCCCCAGAGGTGATCCACATGGCACAGCCCACCTCTCCTGACCTACCCACTGCTCCCCTCCACAGTGTTCTTCCTCAGTTGGCCTGTTCTGCTCCCCACGCTGTCTCTGGTGAATCCTCTCACCACCCCTGCTCCTCTGGCTTGTACCCCAGTTCTGTATGCACAAATAAATATTTAAAAAAAAATTTTTTTTAAAGTTAATAAAATCAAGCTATCTAGACCCCCGAAAAAAGGAAGGGAGTTTACAGGAGTATCAGTGTATAGGTTGGCAGAGCAAGACGAGTCAGAACTGAGTAAAGACCAGTAGTAGCTCGCAGTTTGAATAGAAACTTCAAGCCACTCGAACTTCACATAGCAACAGTTTTTTTTCCACCCTTCGGATGAGGACTTCTAATCACTCTACTGTGTGTTATATCCCCAAAGTTTGTTTTATCTTTCACCTGGAAATGTATATCTTTACCCAGGCCCTAACCCATACCTCTGGTAATAGGCAGTCTGTTCTTTTTCTGTAAATTAATTATTTTTAGATTCCAGTGTAAGTGAGGTCATGCATTATTAGTTGTTTACTGACTTATTTCACTGAGCATAATGCTCTCAGGATACATCCATATTGTCACAAATGGTAGGGTTTCCTTTTTTATTCCATTTTAAATACCACACATACCATGCCTACCGTAACTGTAGCCATTCTTGTATTAATAGGTACTTAGATTGTTGTAGTATTTTCTGTTTCTTAAGTGGATATGAGGTATTTGTTATTTCCTATAAATATGAAAAATTATGTTTTCTTACATGAAATAATTCACTTTCTAAAGTGGAAATTCGAAGTTGAGATTATCTACACCAGCATTCCTTATTCTTTCATCTTTGCCAAGTTCTTCTAAGAAACAAATGTTTCACTAGTTCTCCAAGTAGTCATCATAGGTCCATTTGTAGGTCCAAGCTGCTAACAAGATATAAATTTTACCATCTCCCTGATATTTGATTTCAGGCACAGAAAACCCTCCAAATACCTTTTTTTGGCAGGCAAGGTAAAATTGCTTTTTATGAAAACTTTGTTTCTGTTAGAGAGGAGAAGAAAGTGGGAGGGGGTGGGGTTTGCAATTATGCTTGGATAGACTTGGCCACAATTAAGGGGGAAGGTACAATAGGTTTTTTAAACTCAATGATATTATTTTTCTTGGCAATTATTTCAAACCTATAGCTTAAATTGAAATGTCATGAGTACAGGCCCATGATGAAAAAAAAACTATGAATTTGATTTATAGGTAAATATTATCTAAAGGAAGTTTTGATAATTTGTTTAAATTTTAAGCACAGAAATATTTTTTTGATAAATTAGCATTAGATGTTTTATAGGGGACAACTTTCCTGGAGTTGGAAAGTGGGGAGTAGGAAGCTGATGGAGGTGATCGTGGCACAGATAATTTTTATTATTGAGCAAGTATTTGTTCTTTAGTTTAATTTTAAATTTATTGAACATTACATAATTCTAAGAAGCTCTTAAGGTTTTTTTTGTTTTGTTTT